GTTGGTTATAAAAACATTTCACAGTTCAGAAATTGGTATGGCATAGGAAAATCAAACTGCACAGGGATGTTAAAGGTATCATGCAGATGTGCCACAGTTGTGACATTGCCATCAAGGGCACGACTAAGACCTAATGTCTGATAAATCACAGTAACTGTTCATAATGTGATCTTCCAGTGTCTAGAATGCATTTCATCCATGTGACAACTGACATTGCAGCAACATGTATTTCATGTGGTATGTTGACCACTTCCTGAACAATTACATCTTTGAGGTCTGAAAATGTACAAGGCTTCCCATGGTATATACATGACTTCAAGTACCCTTACAACCACAAATTGGTTGGTGGCCATTCACAAGTGATATGAAATTATTTTGTCCTAAAAGTGTTCCCACAAGATATGTCAGACCACATGCTGAGGGTTCTTCAAAAATTAATGTCCAATAACAAAGTAGGTTGGAAACCACACCACACTGTCACTATAGCATCTTGTACGTATGTAATAAATATTATTTGTAAATTAGTTTCTGACCAGGTAATTTAGTTGTACATCAGTCCCTACAATAATAGCAGGTCATTGGTCATCAACTTCAAGTCTTGCTTAGAACTGCAATGCATGATCAACACATCAGATTAAATCCATCTCCTTTAATACTTGAATATAATGTAGCTCAGAAGGAAACATTCCTAAAATTAACCAAAAAGCCTTACAAACAGATGAAATTGGCAAATTCTGACACCAGGCAACATAACTTGCACTGCCGCACCTATGTACATTTGTGCTGACTTGTTCTGCTGTGGCACAACTGACCTCAATAACAGTTTCAGTAGGAACCAGTGGTCTGCCTATGCATGACTTGCCACAAATGCAGCCAGTTTTTTCATGTTTTTTTTTAACTCGAGCACAGCAACACTGTAACAAATCTCTAGGGATGTCATGAACTCTACAATATTCCCTGAGAGCTGCCTCAGCATTGCATCTATTGGTGTAACAAACATTACACTAGCTCACCTCTCTGCACACCTGTCAGTCTCATGTTACTTGAATGAACTATACTGCAATCAAACAGGGCCACTTACATGCAACATGTGACAACTCTGGAATTTTCATATGTTTGATACTCTTAACACCCATGTGCAATTTCACCATCATATACCATACACTAAACCATTTGTGAGATATGATGCATTGAACTGCAAAATATTCTTTATAATCATCCTTTAATAAACTAGTGTTGTAACATGTTCTGCTATTAAGAAGGTTCTTTTTGGATTACTTGGAAAAATAATGCCAAGTCCAATCCATACAATGATAACAAATTAATTTATTTCTTCAATAAATGTTTACTACAGCCATGTTCACTTGAAAGTCTAATTTCATGAATAATATTTTCAACATAAACCCTGATACCAATATTAGCTTAATTTTAAATTCAATGTTTCAAGAGAACCTCCCGAGACTAATTGTATGTACACCTAACTTAGTTAGCTTGAATGGATAAACAAACAGGCAAACTCATTGAATAGCTTAACAACAAAAAAGACATAATAAGTTGACATTTTCTTATATTGAAAATGTATTTCCAATAATACTTACCTCCTCTCACATAGCTATTACTTGACTGCCAGGGTTTGTTCCTTAGCCCATCTAAGCATTGGTCTGATTTTTTCTCACTTATTCCAGTCTTTTATTCCCCATTCAATTGCCCTTGGTGATATCTATCTCTTGACCCTCTCCACCTACATCAATGCACCCTCTATCTTGGTACTGTATGTAAGCACTTCATTCAGATAATGTTACCACTTTTTCAAGACTGACTTAATCACAGTCTCTAACACCAGCTCTTAGTGGGGAGGAAGGGTAGGAGAGTTTGAAAGGAGGTAAGTATTATTGGAAATGCATTTTCAATTTAGGAAAATGTTAACTTCCAAAATATACTTACCTCTTCTCAAATTGATAACTAGAAACCCACATTGATAAGTTGAGGGCATTATCCATACAGAAAGTGTCTGCACAGATCACATTTATGTCAATAGAAGATTGGCACCCTAGTGGGGGAACCACACTACATCCAGAACAGGTATGCTCTTCAGCCAGAACTTAATTACTGTATTGTGGGTGGAATTTTACCTGATTTATTAAAACTATAGGCCAGGCCTGAACCAGATAGTCAAGATTCCACTACTCAGGGTTGGAATTAAAGGGCCATGGTCCCTAGATCCCACTTTGGTGGCTAGAGCAATTAGACCACAAACTATATATATACTTATGATTGTATCCAAACTGGTAGCCATAGAGTGATGGGTCCCAGCCACCACAATTACGACGAGAATTGTCAGAGTAAAGCCTGATGATTTTTCCTTAATAAGCCAAGATCATGAGGCATTCATCGCCTGTTGTGTAGGGAACTCTGTTTGTCCGTGTCTAGCCCCTGGAAATCGTGACTGTTAGTATATGCACCACATCCTTGAAGCAAGGCAATCGTGAAAAGATGGAACTCTGGACAAGGTGCTCTCATCCCAAAGGCATAAGGGATTCGAATGATGCCCACATTCCTAGAAGAGAAAGAACCATCAATGCAGTGGGAGGAGGAGGAGGGGTTAGTAGAGCCTGGCATCTTATTCCATAGCATTGAGCCATATGGGAGTCAGCTGAGCCTAACTGAGAAATGAGTTAAAAAATAAAAATAAACAGACTGATGACATATTGACTTGGAGTAGCAATAGATGTCTCAGCCATGAAAATGAAACTTGCTTTGGTCATTTCTGAAAATAAAATCAGGATGTGATATTATAACTCAAGTTAACTACAAACTCTGCCTTAGAACCATGAAATTTGAGGGGGAGAAGTATTATTTGAGAGTTGGAAAACACCTAGCAGTGGTAGGCTAAATTGTGGACTCAGACCAATGCTTAGATTAGCAAAAGAAGAAACCCCAACAGTCGAGTAATAGCTATAAGTGGGAGAGGAGGTATGTATAATTTGGAATAGATAGTGTTTATGCATTATCTTTTTTTTTTGTATTCAACTGTGAGAATGGTAAGACTAGGGGACACAAATATAAATTTTGGCAATGTAGGAGTCATCTTCAGCTAAAATAGCTTTATTTCCAACAGGGTGGTTGGCTTTTGGAAAAAATTATCTTCAGATATGGTACATGCAATGAATTTATGAGAGCTTAAAGGAAGGCTTGATAAGTATATGAATGATAAAGGGCTTGCTTTAAGTGTTGTATTTTTATTTTAAAATTTAGTATGATGTATTACATGTTCTAGATGGACCAACAGGTTTCTTGTTATCCTTAAATTATAAGTATGTATTGTACATACCTGAAAACTCAGTTATAGTATCAGCCCGTAGGCTATACCTTGGAAGTTGCTCCTGTACAATACTTTCTAATTCCACCTCTGCTAGAACAGACTCGTTACAAAGATCTGTAATGGTTCCAGCATGACAAAAGATGGGTGAGCTGCTTATTTTCACCTCATTTCCCCCAGGATGGTCAGGAAGAGGTCCATCACTTACAATTGTGGATGTGCTATTTCCTACATGTGGGTCCAGCTTGCCTTCTTCCTGTGAGCTTGAGAGAAGGGTGTTACGGCATGCTCAAGACAGATGCACTAGAAAAAAGTTATTCAAGTATAAAGCACTACTTGATTCAACAAATAGCTATTTTCAGTGTGAAATATTACATATGGATATAGTAATAAATTACTTAAAAATATATAGCAAAATAATTACCTCCAAGCACAGCAGTAACTCATGGTATAGCATTTTTGATACACAGGCATACTATGCATTTTCTACCACCATCTTGAATGTAGAATTTTTCAAACATTTTCATGTATACAAGTGTATATCACTTAACAGGAATTTCAGTCAAACAGTAGCTAAGTTCCTTCGGCCCTAGTTTCCTATTGTTCAAAATCATTACCTAAAGTGTCACATGTACTTTCTTGTGAGAATGATTTCTGCAAAGTTGAATATATTATGTGAAAGTGCACAAACATCTTTTCACTGGCAAGTCAGATGACCCCTAGAGGATATAACCTCCTTTATTTTTCAATAGGAATGACCAACAGTCACCTGAGTAATGCACATGCCCTGAGAAGAATTGCTATGATTTTTTTAGTTCGGAACAAGGTTCGTGAGAAATAACGATACAGAGAGCTCTCTTCAGTAAAAGCACCATTCTTTGTAAATACTCTATTTCTAATTGTTTTCAATCACTGAATAAAAAAAATCATTTTGTAACACAATGTGTCAGTCTCTTTCATTATTTAAACTTCGCCAAAGTCAGATAATTAAGATTTGCTCCTTAATATATTTTCTTTCAAACTCCTGTTATTTTGCAAAACCTACTCAATCACTCTTACAAGAAATCACTGCACCTGAGAACACCACATATGCAAGTTACATCTCAGTAAAATGACACACAATAATTTCTAGATAAACAACAAAGAAAAAACTTATCTAAAATAATTACAATTACTTCCTTGGAAATCCAAACTTACTAGTCACTCATATCATACATCTGAAATGATATAAACTAAAACTACAAACACTGGACAAGTGATTCCTGTATAATACCTTTCCATACTGGAGGCAACCACAACTCTACTGTAGTTTCTACCTTCCCATTTTTATGCAAAAAGATACAAACCCATCAAAAGTAATCATAATTTGTTTTCATCTAACCTAATCTGACCCAGACACAATCTAAAGTGTTAATCAGTGGAAAATTAGTTACAACACTAATAATTTACTGTAGTGGGGAAAAATATTAGGATTTTATAAAAGAAGCTTTACAAAATATTTTAGTGAAATATAATATCATATAAGAAAGCCACCATAGGTTCACCAAAAGAAGTTTTTGAGTATGCCCCTTGTTCTTTGGACAAAGGAAAGTATGTACTTAAATTTTCAAAAAGCTTTTGATAAAGTGCCACGTACAAGATTAGCTAAGAAAACTACATTGGTAAAGGTTGGGTAAAGACCAGATAACTGGATTGCAAGGTGGTTGGATGGTAGAAAACAAAAGGTTTTTATTAATACAGTCCAGCTAAACTGGACCCTAGTTACAAATGGAATGCCTCAGGGGTCAGTACTTGGACCTTTGCTTTATTCTTATTTACTTTAATGATATTAGTAAAGTATGCTGGTGAATTCAACTTTCTGGTATTTCTAACTGTACTGATGATGGTGAGGTACAGCATAATGACTTGAATCTACTTGTAATTTGGACAAATGTATGGGAAATGACCTTCATTATTATTATATATCTGACAAGAACTATAGGTTGGCCACACTCACTATGTGTTTTAGTAGTTTAGAAAGCCTATAGCCATACTATGGATTCAACATCATGCATGAGTTTCAAGTTTGTTTTGTTTTGTCTTGGTGAAATAAGGTATCATTATATTGTTATCATAACTTGCAGTCCTTTTCAGTTCCTTCCAGTGATACACCACTGTATTATTGTGCACGAGTGATTGAATCAACATCACAACTTTCTTCTTCTAAAGTAGCAACTCCCTGCAAGAAAGTAAAAGTCCTTCAAAATAAATAAACAAGTTTGTGGGAAAACTAGTTTTATGGGGTGACTGTCAAGACCAGTCTAGAAGAAAGTTATCCTGGATGCACAGTAAGCCATCATGATGTCTTTACATGTCTATTTTGTAAGGCCTCATTTAGAACACTGTGTACAGTTTTGGTCTAAGGCTTTATCTAAAAAATATACTGACTTAGTGTAAATAGTTCAGAGGAGAACTACTAGGGTGATTCCACGGATGGAAGGTTTATTTTACATGGATAGGTTAAGATCTCTTACCTTGTTTTTCCCTTGAGAATAAAAAAGTAAGAGGTGACGTTATTGAAGTTTATCTAGGGGATCAATAGGATAAGGTCCTCTGATTTCTTTCTGCTTCTTATATTTTGAAGATAATACAATGAGAGGACAACACTTTAAGATTTGGAAAAAAAAAGACTAAGCTCCACTAAAGACAGTTTTATTTTTCTAATAAGATGATTGATTTATTCCAAAGGGTAAGTGTGATAAGACAATCTTAGAGAACCTTTTTTATCGGTAGGTTATTTCTTCTTGCTTTTTCTTATATTTTCACATTTTTTTACATATCAGTATTGATGGTTAATAACATGGCCTGATAAAAATGCCATTATGCTACTAATACTAGTACTACTGAATATGAATGCAACTACTCAAATTCATAACTGCCTAACTACCCTCTTTCATATTGAGTAATTTTGCACTTTTCAGTGGAGCAAAACACCCTTTATCCTCAAAAAACAAATTCTATAATTTTGCAGATTTGAGCACATCAGTCTAAATTTAATATAAAAAAATCTTGACCTATAGCATCAACTCATGACAGTTAGTCATTTTTTATCATTATAATATCACTATCAGCAGCTATAATCTGCTTCCCAAGTTCCTATTAGTTAAATATGAATATTAACTTGCACTTAATTAATAAAAAGTTAATGTGCTCAAAATACATAAATATTGAATTTCTGTAAATAAAAACTTATTCAGCTTCGCAATACTGCATTGCTTGCTGCATATTATATAACGAAGTTACAGTAATAATACGTGTGGTATATATATAATGCCGTAATAATATGAACACCCCCAAGTTGTGATGACTCATGTACTACTAGTACTAGTATTAGTGGTAGTTAGAGTTGACTAGAACAGTAGAACTTAGAAGTAGTGAGAAATCTAGAACAAATTATATCATACGGTTTATTCACTAGGTAAATGAAAAACTCCATTCACTTAAAGTAGACCTTCTTACCTGATTATTAGTCTAACGCGCTGATAATATGTTGTGTATTTTTAACAGCAAATAAATAATTAATAATTTATCAGCGTTTCTTAATTCGTATGGCAATAAAATTTCTCGATTCGTTCGTGATTTCATCACTTGGCGACATCTACTGGCAATAACGTATTTCAAAGAAATTAAGCTGGTTTCACAGTAAATGATTGACCAAGGATCTTATTAGAACCAAAGGCTTTCACTTAAAATGTTACAAAAACAAGTTTTCGTTAGAATGTATGTACACCAAAACATTTTTTAGTACTACTACTTTTCGGACACCAACTTGCGGTGGAATAATCCCCCATCCCAGACCAGAAAAAAACTTAGCACCATTTTTATCCGTTTGTCACTTTGTGCCAATGAAAGCGGAGTTAGGCGTCAGTCTTTTGTACTTTTTACTCACTGTACGGGTTAACCTTTAAATGCTATTTTTTCCACTTCTTGCGATTTTCTCTCCATTGCACGATTCTTTTTTTTTCTTTTACATTTCACGTAGTTTGTCTGTTTTAAAGCTTCTTTGCGATGATAAATTACTCTTATTTGTAAAGACTTTGATGATTTGCAGTTTGGATTTCTGTGGTTGTCTTAATAAAATCGTTTGTTGTTGTTCTTCCACCCTGGTGGTACCGGCTGTTTGTTTTTTAGACCGTCACAAGAGATATAAACAATACAATTTAATAAAAAATCATTTAAACCCACTGCACATAACACATCATAAGGAAAATAATTCTAGTTATGATTCTTACAAATGCGAAAAAAAAAAAATCTAGAAAAGAACAAGTTTGCATCTAAGCTTCCAAAGTTTCAAGCTATGCCCCTTAATATCCAAGTTCGTATATTCGAAGTTTTCGTTCATTCACTCAAAATATACACGTAGGAAGATTTTGCAAATCTTTAACAGTTTTGAATATCTTAATAAATTTCATCTATAAAGGAAATTCAAAACTTCAGTATTTTCGTCACAGACTGTTAACATTTAATCTATAGTATCTGAAGTGATATGACTATACTTGAATTAGAATTAAGTTGAATTAGAAGTAATTTGCCAATATGAAATATTTTGTAATATCTTGGCAGTCCATAAGAATTTTTGTTGTTATATAAAAAATAAAACATTAAAGAAATGTATAGTAGACAGAGGTTTTACTTCCAAAAATCCCTGGCGGTGATATATAGAAATTGGATTATTTTGGGTTGTGACGTAGGTGTATCGTGAAGGGGAGAAATACTAATATTAATTATAATATTTTAAGAGTCAATTTAGATCGAGGAAAGTCTTGAATTTTGTACTTCCTTTTAATTTGTTGGTCAAGTAAAAAATACTAAGAATAACATAATAAAAGTGACATTATAAGTGTTATTTTTACTGAATGCAACACGAACACTTACTGAATTAGTCTTAAGAACTAAAGAAGAGAAAAACTTGCAGTTGCAGACTATACAAGTGTTCAACTGTAGGTGAGTTTAAAATTAAATACCTAAATGTCAATTTATTATTGTAATATATAAGGGCTTAACCTAACTTACTAATTTAATTATGCTTAATAGCTATTGGTATTTTGTAATACAAATTAATTCATAAGTATATAATTATGAAAACTTAAAAAAGCAAATATTAATAAAATTCAATTACTCACAATTTGACTAAAAGTTCAGTAGTACTTTGCTTATACTATAATCTCAGTTTCTTTTGAAGAATGAGAAGAGTGTTGTTTTTTTTCTTTTTCATTTGTAGCATAGTCTCGTTTTTGCTTTGCTAATTATTTTCAACTTATTGGGATGGGGCCACATAACATTCACCTAGTGCGTATCGAACAATTTCCATGAATCTTGGTTTAGAGTATTTTTTTAAATGATCTTCCAGTATTCTGACAGTTGAGCCAAGGTGGGCACCCCCGAATTCTAAGAAACAGGATCCAGAAATGATGTGACTGCTAAGAGAGCTGGAATCAATCTTTAAACTTAAAAAAACAACAACAAAAAACTAATTATCAGTAGAGTTTGAATCACGTTGAAGGTGAACTTGTGGATAGACTGTTGATTATGACATTTAATTTATTCAAGATGTTTGAGTTTGAGCCTGTCTGTGGTAGAGAGATTATTACTTGTAGCATTGGGACTATCCCGTTCAAAAAATAAAATTGCTTAATTTGCAAACAACTTCTACAGTACCTTGCCAAAGTCTTATATCTATATATTCTAGACCTACCACTTTTAGCATTGAACACACAAATGATGCATCAGTCTTATCTATTCCCTTTATATCTTACTACTGGGTGAATAAGATTTTAATTCAAAAGTAAAATATTGTTTTTTTTTAGAACAAACAAGTTGAAAAACACAGTCTGGGATGATTATTTATGATGATATAAATCAAATGGATAAATAAAAAACAGCAGAAAGTCATGAAAATAATTAAAAATGAAAAGATGCTCTTTGCCTTCAGAGAAGCCTGACTAATTTACTCTTTAACCATTTTCATTTTTTTAATGGTTTGCTTATTTTAGTGTTTTGTGTTATTTGTATTGTTCCAATTTTTTTATGCCAGATTGTGTTTTTCATTTATTTCTCCTAGATAAACCAGTACTCTGATTTTAAGATAGCCTATTCAAATTCCTGACAAATTTAAAAACAAGAATTATGTTCTAATGAACTTTTTTCCAGATTCCATAAAAAAAGATATAAAAATTATTACAACTGTGTTTATTATTAAATTCGTTTATTAAGTTTAATGTTTTTGTGTTATTAGGACACTTGAAAGTGCAATAAAAATTTGAATGATACTTATATATATGTATATAAGTTCACCAGCCAAAACAAGTAAAATTGGTCAATTAAATGCTAGATAATAATGCTTATTTACATTAAAATGTTAACTTTAAAAAAAAAGGTGTAATTTCATTGTATGGTTAATAATCAATTCAATAAAATCTTATCAGTTTAGACCGTAGCTAATTAAACAAAATCCAAAGCTCTAACTTTTACCTTTGAAACCAAAACCTCTTTCACTTTATCACAAAGCAGTTGCAAAAATGGAGAAACTTAATTAAAGGGCCATACAACCAAGTTTTGTGAAGCCATTAGCATTATGTTGTTCCATTTTATTTCTTTAAGATTTTATACTGAAAATTTGGAAGGAATCATTGTTCTAAAGAATCCCAAAAATTGTATTGTCTTAAGGATTTTTTATTACTTATATTGCAAACACAAAAGAGAAACTAAGGTGTTAGCTAAAGTACTTTGAGGTAAAATTAATATACAGAACACTCCAAAATACATCAAGTATGGTACTGCTCCATACAGAACATTAAAGAAATACATCTGAATTGTTTTATTGTTCTAGATAACCAGCCATATTATTTTAGTAAATGTATGATCATAGGCCAAAGCAATGTTTAGTAAAGATCTGTTTTCACACTGGGGAGTTTTATTTGAGTAATATATTTGTCATTTTATAACATGCAGTTTACTTCAGTTAGGTAGCTTAAAGATACACATTGTGCAAAGTAACAACAATTTTAGATTTTTGCTTGCAAGAAGTTAAATTTCCTGTCTAAAATGAACATATTGCAAAAGGACTCACCTAAAAAATAATTAGAAAAATTTGAAATAACAGACGACATTATTATTTTTATGTTTTGATTGGGATACTTATGTTTAAGTTCATTGTTCTGCAGAGATATTTTTCCTTTAGTATAATTAATTTGATGGAATTTGATGATGAGAAAAAAGGTACATTCTTTACATTACTAATTGTTTTTGTTAGGTCTACAATTTATGTTTTTTATCAATTGACTTTAAGCTGTCAGTTTATTGTGGATATGTGGAAATGTTTGCATAAGAGGAAGTATTGAAAAATTTATTTTCCAAAGTATTTGTTAAACCTGATAGAATTATAGGTGTTCGACAATGTGTGGACCTACCATTTAATGTTTTTTTGTTGTTATTTGAATTCCTTTTCAGTTTGTTTAATTTCTTCTCTTTTTTTCCTGGTTATGAATTTGTCTTTTTACACTTCTATAATAGACATGGCAAGTACGGCGAATATTTTTCCATCTGGTGGAGTGAGTGACAGTTCTCATAATACCAGTGAAAATAGTATCAACCTTACACCAGGTATATTTCTACTGATAAATTTTCCAAGTAATATTTCATTTTTAGTTTAATAGATTATGAGCATTTAAATGCTTACTTATGCATACATACATAATAGTGTTTAATATTTTTGTGAAAATTACTTAGCATGCATGTACATATCTGTAATAAATGTAAAAATTTTACATAAAAAATAAAAGTAAATTCTCTATATAAACATATTTATATAAGTTTTATTAATTTTAAAGCTTAACTTTGACCTGTTGGATTGGCTTTATATTTTTGTTTTGTTTTTAAGTGTTTTGACATAAATAATTGAAATTCTCGTTTATATAAATTTTTTTATAATATGAATGTATTAATTGTATGGTATGACATCATAATAGTTCTGTTAAACATTTTGAACAGTAATCTGTCATTGTGTTAGTGATCCTAAATTGAAGTTGTTAAAAAATAAACAAAAACTTTGCATAAGATGTAGTAAGCACTTGTCTTAATTTTGTAATTACGGTTTCTTCTTTTGGAATTTGTTTCAAAATTTACAAATTACATCTTTAGACTCCTCACCAAATATTGGCATGATCAGTCAGAAGTGTTTAGAATCTGCAAGTCTTTCTGGGAATATGATTGTGACACCCTCAGTAGCTGCGTCTAAAGAAGATGCTTTCCAGAAGAGGAGGAGTTCATCTCGATCCATAAAGAGAAGAAAGTTTGATGATGAGCTAGTAGAAAGTAGCATTTTGCACAAAACTCCACGTAATCGTCCACCATCTGGGTCTCTTTTTCCTTTCGGAACACCTGGGCTTGTGTCTAGTGTTGGAATTCCGGGGGAGCCATTTAGTATGGAAACACCAGCACCATTACCACAAGAAAAAAAAAGGTAGTGTTATGAAGTTATGGCTGCTAAAGGTTCAAACTTCTCATCAGTTTATGAGAGTTTTTTTATACATGTCATATAATGCATAGTAACATGAGAAAAGGATTGTGACAGAACGAGTTAATGAATGTGTACTTTTGAAGTATATAGTATAATTTAGGTCTAACAAGAAAGGAAAGTGCAACTGGTCTTAAAATTTGCTGAAAATTTTAATTTTCAAGTATGTGTAAGTGAAGTAAATTAATAAATTCTGAAACAATCCACTTACCTCTGCATACAATAGCTATTATTGTATTTGAGATTTTGAGCATGCCACTAGTCTTGAGCTAACTTCCACCAAAGCATGTGTTTTAATGTGAATTGTGCTAGTATGTGATGCAATTATTATGTGACAATAACCCTCTACCAATAGGAGGGTGACACATCTTCCATGTGTAGTAGATCCCCATAAGTACTTGCACTCAAAATTAATTTAATATCCTTTCTTCTGTCATAAACGGACATACTTATCAAAGTTTAACTTTGTCCATCTTAGTGATGTTTGCTCTGCCTTTATTCTAGTGTTAAATTTCTTTCATTTTATTTGTTTTCAAATTCAGTTCCAAACTACATTGCCTTTCTATTACTACATTAAAAAAAGATATGGAAAATTACTTTAAAAACAATGAATTCTTTACTGACTGTGAAGAACGTTACTGCCATTGTTCAATGTGTTGTGAGTTTGTTAATGCCTCATCTCTCTGTCCCTACATTGGAAGTGTATTCCTCTCTTTCTGAACCTGACCACAAGGACAATGATTCTGTTTGGCTCTTTCCACTTCCTGATTTTACACTAGGCTCCTTTTTACCTGTACACTGTAGAGGACAATGTTCCTCCTCCAAATCATTTTGTAGATTTGGTTTCTTATGTTTGTTCTGTATTCTGTCTTTCATTTATGTCTTTTAACTCTTCTTATTCCTTACTACATGCCTCTCATACTGAGGATTATTTATTTTTTTCTCCATCTCCAGACATATATGTTCATACTGACACATTTCTGGATCAGCTTCGTTCACTCTCTCAAATGCCTCATCCTCCTCAACTCAAATATTTCTTTACCATGGCTTATGGCTATTTGTCTTTTCCATTCTTGGATTTCCAATCACGACAGGCCCTTTTACCAACTTGGGGGTTGATGCCATGTCTTTAATAACTCTCTCTAGTGTTCAATTTTCTCATCTTTGCCCTTTTCTTACACATCTCCTTCTTTACCTATCCTCTCTTCATCTGTTCACTGAAGCACTACACCATGATCATGATAGTTTTTCTGGGGATCTATGGTTGTTCCTTTTCAATACCTTGGCCAGGATTTTGTTTTTTGATTTGTCTTCCTTACTTGGTTCCTCTCTTGTCAGGACATTCTGGGACATGACACTCTCATTCTGCTGTTTGTGTTTCCCTTTCTTTCCTCCAGGACCTCTATCTAGCTCCTTTTCTTTGCCCTGAAGTCTTCAGGGGTTTTCCTACTTTGGAGAATCAGTCTGAGGCTACTCTACACAAGCTCTACCTTTCCTCTTTGATTTCTTGTTTCTCCCAACCTTGTGAATACACAATCATTCCTTTACACTTTGAGCCTTCACTTCTTTCTTTCCCTTTTCCCATTTCTCATCCCTTTACCCCCCCTCCAACCAAGTTGGTCATCACAAATCCCTTTAGTGACTACCTCCATTTTTACCCAGTTGGTTCAGGGCTCATGGAAGCATGTCTGTTTCTGTATGCAGACCTGTGGATCTCATTTGCAGCTGATTAATGGGCCATGTAATTCTTACACATAGCTTTTCTCTTCATTCCTCATCTATTCTTCCTGTGTCTCCTTTTCCGGTTCTTTTCTCTTCTGATCTTCAACATCTTCTGGCATTGGATTTTTTGGACAAACCAACTATCAAGAGAATCCTTTACTCCTCTTCATGTTTTTTTTTCCCCCCAAGAAACTGGGAGCTGGCATCCTGTCATTGACCATCCATCCCTCAACCTCTGTCTATAACTTCCTTAGTTCATGATGAAGGGGTTTCTTCCTCTCCTTTGGCCATTTTTGCCGGTAGTATGGAAGACCAAGGTCAATATCAAAGATGGCTTTCTACATATTTCAATTGCCCTGTTCTCCCAACTTCTGCTTTGGTTTGTTTAGTAGGATCAGGTTTACCAGTTTTGAGCTCTTCCCTTTGGCATCACTTTGGCTCTATATGTATTCATCCAAATTGCAATAGTGTTTGCTTGCCATATCAATGGATTTTGTTTCCATTATTACTTAGACAACTGGTTGCTTTTACCTCTTCTCAGGAGGTCTCTTTCTTGGCCATATCATTTCTCCTCTGAGAAGCTGTTCAACTGGGTTGGCTGGTCAAACCTTCTAAGTTGTTCCTCACTCTAACCTACTACTTAGTCTATCTTGGAACCTCTTTCATTTCTCGAGTCAATCAGGCTTGGCCTTTCTCCATTTGTCTGCGAGACATAGAATATCAAGTCACCTTGATTCTTGCCTCTCCTGTATTTCCTGTGTGAGAGGTTCTATATCTTTTAGGCAGTCTTGCATCTCACAAATATCTTTTTCCTTAAGGCTGAGCTCACATGAGGCTTCTTCAATGGACTTTGAGGCACCAATAGAATATCTTTCATGATTCTGTGTCCTCTCTTGTGATGCTGTAGCCATTTCTTCTTGAGGATTATCTTGGTGGCTAGATCATGTAGATACTATGATCAGCATTCCACTTCTACTCCCCATGTCTAGATCTCAATCTCTTCAGTGAAACATCTCTTACGATTTGGTGCATGTCTTTGTGTGACTCCACAGTTTTGGGGGTTTGTTCTCATGAGGAGCATATTTTCCATATCAATGTTTTTGAAATCTTATCTGCCCATTGAGCATGTTTCTAGTTCTTATCTTGACTTGTGGATCACTTAGTTATGATCCATTTTGGCAATTCTATGGTTATTTCCCATATCATTTGTCATGGTGAGACTTCCTCCAGGGACCTTTGCTTTAAGATAATGGACTTTCTGTTTTGGGCCCTCTCACATGGTGTTTGTCTAACCACCTGTCATGTTCTGGGGGCTTTGAACTTTGTTGTGGATTGCCTCTCTCATCCAGATAATATTCTTTCTATGGAGGTCTTTCATTGGATCTGTTTTCAGTTGTGCACACCAATGATCGACATCTTTCCCACTCCTCTTAATACAAAAATTCCCCTCTTCTGGTCTCCGATATCTAACCCAGCAGCTCTGGTTGTGGATGCCCTCAGCAAAGACTGGTCCTCTCTTTCTGTTTCTTTGCCTTTTCCCACATGCCTTGGCTTTGATTCGTGACACTCCTTGTTGGGTCCTGTTGGTAGCCCACCTTTGACTGGTTTAATCTTGGTTTCCTTTTCTTCTCCAACTGGTGTTCAGGGCACCACTTTCTCTGGCTAAGTTTTGGTCACTCTTGCTACAACCTGATATGTCTTTCACCTGGGAATGTCATCCCTTCTTCTTCACATGTGGGATTTGTCCAGTCCCTTGCTCGCTAATCAGATTTCTCTGACCGATTGGTTCTACTTTTATCCAATTCTGTCTATCAATGAAATTAACATGTTTTTCTTGTTGGTCCATCTGCAACTCTCTCCCACCAATTTGTTCTATTGTCCACATTTCAACATTCTTTATATAGTTGTTTGATTGAGGGTTGTTAATTTTTACCAAAGCAGGCTATTGGGTAGCCTTGTTAACCACCTTTTGACTCTTTAACTATGGTTCTGTCTTTTCCTTTCTTGTTTTTTACACTTTGTTGACTGTTATAGGGTGTCAAATTCCATGGGCTTTCCTCTTCATTTGCCTTTTCACAATTGCATAGGCCACTGCACCACATCAATTTGTGAAGAGAGGTTAGTGGATTTTTTCAGAAATTAACATTCTCCTTTCTTGAAAATGTACTTTCAACAGATTCTTACTTATCTTCACACTTTCCTATCCTTCCTACCCACTACTGGTGCATATTATTCTTGCCTCTTCTAAGAGTGAAATTAATTTTGAATGCAAGTGTTTATAGGGATCTACTGTGCATGGAGGATGTGTTGCTTTCCTGTTGATGGAGGGTTATTGTCACATGATGATTACATCATGCTCTAGCACAGTTGATGTTAAAAGATGTGTCTCATATGGGAAATAAATCAAGGTTAGTGGCATGATCAAAATCTCAAAAGCAGACACATAAAAATAGTTACTGTGTATATATATAGAAGTAAGTATCTATTGAAAATTCACTTTCAGGTAAGAAAAATGTTAATGATAATTTACAGCTGGAACATCTAGTATTATCACCATTATAATGAAGAATGGTAATACTATAAAAAAAGAGAGAGAGAGAAATAGGTTGATATTCAGTTAAGTAACTTTTTCCATCAGAGAGTTAGTAGTAATACTATAAAAAAGAGAAAGTGAAATAGGTTGATATTCAGTTAAGTAACTTTTTCCATCAGAGAGTTAGTAGTAATACTATAAAAAAGAGAAAGTGAAATGGGTTGATATTCAGTTAAGTAACTTTTTCCATCAGAGAGTTAGTAGTAATACTATAAACAAGAGAAAGCAAAATAGGTTGATATTCAGTTAAGTAGCTTTTTCCATCAGAGGTTTAGTAATAATACTATAAAAAAAGAGAAAGTGAAATAGGTTGATATTCAGTTAAGTAACTTTTTCCATCAGAGG